AAGAGTGCAGAAGTCTTCACAGAAGGGTCAGACAGATGGAAACACTGACTTCCTAAGTGTATAGCCCTAGATGGAAGACATGCTGAGAAATAAATTTCACATTTAGATATTTTGTGTAATAAACATTTCTAGTATTTTGTAGCAATATCTTTTTACTTACCCTTCTGTATGTGTTTGTATGGGTAAAAATGTTTATGTATACACTTATGCATAGATATTTGGAGTCCTGGTGTGGTGCTGCAGGTTAATGTGCTGGACTACAAGGTCGGTTTGAACTGCAAGGTTGGCAGTTCAAGCTCACTGGCTGCTCCTCAGATACCCTAAACAAGGTCACTGTGAGTTGGAACCAACTTGATAGCACTTACCAACAGCAACAAGATAGTTATATATCTATATCTATCTATCTATAGATATATATATATAGATAGATATAGATATAAAATCTCAGACATGTATGCATATATAAAATTGTGTTTTGTTTGTCTTCTTGTATCTATAGAAAAATTCACCCAAAGGCAGAAGGGACTCTGGAAGATAGACAAGCAATTTATTCATGTTTTTACTGATGCCTGTAAGGCCACGTGCTATTGGTTATCAGATGTGTCTGTGGATATACTGTGTAAAAAGGAATTTAGAGGATAGCGTGAGATAATTCCTGTCTAGCACTTAGCATTATTATCTGGCACATAGTGAGCGCTCAATAAAAAGTTTGCATTTATTTTTCTTGTCATGATTACCATTACAACCAGCATCATTATTGTTGTCTTTTAAACAGCAAGGTGCTGGGTATAAGGACTTAAAATTCACATGAGCAACGTAAAGACGTGACACTGAGCCGCTAATGTATCTTTAGTACAACACTTATGGTTGTATGACCATTTGTCTTTCTACATTACAATTATCTTCTGGGACCTGGCAGCTCTGGGTGGCTGTTTATGTATCTCATTCAATACAATTACATAAGGCAGATTACGTGCCTATATGTTTCCCTCGCCCCTTAACTGTCCACAGAACTTGGTCCCCATGGTGATGATGAACACCTAGAGGACAGAACCCATGCACTATCTACATGCGTGCCCACACACCTTCCCCTTCCAGGACCAGCACAATCTACGGGGTAGCTAAATCAGTCTTATATTTACTAAGTAAAGGGAAAATAAAGGAAATGATGTGTTAATGACCATACAGTAGAGATAAAGCTGTAGGATTCACTGGTCTGTCCACATAGATATTTAATAAGTATTATCTATGTGCGACGCTGCAGGATAGCACTGGACTACTAACCACAAGGTCTGTGGTTCAAACCCACCAGCTGCTCCTTGGAAACCCCATACAGGGTCACTATGAGTTGGAGCCAATTTGACGACACGTTCCAACAGCAGCAACAACCATCCACGTGGTCAGAGCTGTGCTCAGTGCTATGGGTGCCAAGTTGTTGTTGTTGTGAAGTGCCGTCAAATCAATTCTGACATGTAGTGATATTATATAGGGTTTCTGAGGAGCAGCTGGTAGGTCTGAACCACCGGATGCAAAAAAGCAGTCTGGGTCCCAAATGAGCTCCCAGCTTTTGGTGTAGGTAGGTGTTCTGAGAAGAAAATATGATCTGGGGCAAGCAACATGAATGAGTCCATCTTGACTTCCTAATCTCCCATAAGCAAGGGGGCACTAAATGCCCAGAAGTGAGAGCTATGCTCTTCCTAATCCCCACCTTCCAGCCTCCAGCTCGTCACCCCAAGGAGCTTCCCTAAATATGGAACATGGGCATCCAGGGGTGCCAAACAAAGCGCAGCCCTATGAAAGCACATGTGAAGCATGAAGTATTTATTTTACATACAAGAGGGCATCAAAGAGTTTGTGAGGAAATTCCATAGAATGTTTTCTTTCTAGTTTTCCACAAACGTTTTGAAGCCCCCTTGAATATATAACCACCAGCCTCAATAAAAGCAGGATAAATCAGTATGACTCATCTTCTGCTAGCCTGGACTAAGCACTCTCTCCAGGGCTCCCCCAGCTCCCTACATAGACTGCTCTCATGGCGTGTGCAAACTGCAGCATGAACATCTATCTGCTTACTTGTCTGGTCCCTTCAATGGGGCTGATTTATCTCTGATTCTTTGGTGTCTAGTATAGTGTCTAGCCCATAATAGTCACTAAGTATACACACAGAAAATGAGTAAATAAATGTAGGAATGAGCAAACTCATTAGGTAAAGAAGGCTTTTTGCCCTCAGTGAAACTGATCATGAGATTGAAAGGTCAGCAGGAAATTCTCAAGCCTTCAGAAGGAAGGTGATGCCATTTTTATTTCATTAACTACCAGACCCCTGCCAAGATCAGAAAAAAACAGTCTTCTCTACTCTGAGGTATCTGTAATGATGCCCATCACCAAGAAAACAGCATGAAAAACCTCAAGTCCAGCAGTCCAGGATGGCTGGATCCTCCACCTTCTAGCACGCCCTTCCCACCGCTCAGGTAGAAAGAGATGGCTGCTGAGACCTCTATCCCACTCAGACAAAACCAAATGGGTTTTCGTTTTCTAATGTGCAATTTATACTTTATAAAGTGAATGCACTATCAAAATTAAGTTCTGTTGTGTATTTTAACTTTCATGTGTCCATAAATTAAGAGAATCTACCAAGGAAGCATAATCTTACTCAGAGTCACAGAGATTCTAAGGAAGGTTTTCAGCATTTCAATAATCCAGGAGGTGTTGGATGCGTAATGCACTAAAGAGCTGCACTTTGTAAAGGCTCCTACAAATCCCCGTAATTTAATTCAGTTACAATTTCCTTGGGAAAGAAGCTCTGCATAATTGACCTCCCAGATGAGGGAAGGAGATAAACAGTCTCACTGCCTGACAGCAAATAAAAGAACAGGGTGTGTGCTTGCCTTGGGTCAACCCCAGGTCTCCTAAACACAGAACAATTTACTCAGGTGCCCACGAACGCAGTGTCAAACCCAACAGAAAACTGATGTTAGAAGTTTCGTGAAGAATCTGCTTATGGTATAGTAGCTTCCACTGGGGTGTCCAACCTACCCTTCTAGGACAACTGCACTTTCCCAGAGAGGAGACCCTGCAAACAAAATGCTACTAGGTAAATCTACAGCCTACCTTACTCCTTAAGAGAGCTGTAGCCATTGGTGAGTGGACCAGCAGCGAACACCTGCCTGGCAGACTGGAGTCTTTCCCACTAGACCTCAGCCCTGACACTTAAGAGCTAGTGGTCAGTCCTTTCAGGTCATGGGAACTGGCAGGTGATGAAAATCCCCACTGATCTTACCTGATGCGCACCCACTGGCTTTTGTCTATCCAGGGATACACTCCCTTTACCTGTTACTTGTTATTATCGTGAACCATTGAATCAGTTACAACTCATAGTGACCTGTAGAGGGTTTCCAAGGCTGTAAATCTTTTTGGGAACAGAAAGCTTCATCTTTCTCCCACACAATGGATGGTGGATTTGAACCATAGACCTTGTGGTTAACAGGTTAACAACCTAACGTTAACAACCACTACACTACCAGGGTTTCCCCTCTGTTTTTGTTGTTGTTAAGTGCCGTCAAGTTGGTCTGACTCATAGCAACCCTGTATGGGGTTTTCAAGGAGTAACTGCTGGGTATGAACCACCGAACTTGTGTTTAGCAGTCCAGTGCAAATTTTCTTGCCCAACTGAGTGTGTGTATGAGTGTGTATGAAAGTGTGTGTATATGTTGGGAGGAATCCTTAAGAAAAGCAATAGTCAACCTATTTAGTCATCACTATTACAAAGGCACTGACCAATCAGAACGGAGCCTGGATCTTGCCAATGATGGAGGAATATTATCCCTGGGGTTGTCCCCATCCTCTCCCTGCCACAGGGATTAACAGGTGACCAGTCTGTACAATCATGCCAGTGCTCTCCTGGGCTTTAGTGATTGGTCCAGGTAGAAGATACAATAGACAGCGAGATAGACAAAGTAGATTTTTAGAAATGGATGGGAACAACCAAATATTGGAGTCCCAATGTGGCGCTGTAGGATAAGCACTAGACAACAGAGTTGATTTGAACCGCAAGGTCGGTAGTTTGAACTCACCAGCCGCTCCTCAGAAACCCTAAACAGGATCACTATGAGCCAGAACCAATGCGATGATACTTAACAACAACAACCAGATATTAAAATTCCAAAGAACAGAGGAAAAGAGAACAGAAGCCTGGCTATCTGAGGACTTTGTCTCCTCTGCATCCAGGCCCTTACAGAGCTTGACTGCATGTTTGACCCCAATATTCAGCAAGTTGCTTTGCCGCTATAGGATTTGTATTCATTCATTTGAAAGAATATTTATTGAACACTCTATCCGCATGTGCAAGTTACAGTGAGCGCACAGCTGCGTGGTGTTAGTGGCGTGCAGGACCACAGAAGGGAAGTGAGGGAGGTTCAGTGCACTGGTCGCCTGCCTGGGTTCAGCTGACCCAAAGGGGTGCTGGTTCTTTTTGCAGAGCCCTTCCTTCCTTGCTTTCAGCTCCAATAATCTACATATCAGTGAAAGCCCTGGGGACCAAAACACAACTCCGTGTACAGATAACAAAACAACCCAGAGACTGTGACACGGAACCGAAAACCAAGCCTACTGCCCTCGAGTCGACTCTGGCTCATAACAACCCTAAAAGACAGAGTAGAACTGATGCCGTAGGATTTCCACAGCTGGAAATCTTTACCGAAGCAGACTTCCACATCTTTCCCCCAAGAGCAGCAGATGGGTTTGAACTGCTGGCCTCGCAGTTAGCAGTCAAGCACTTTAACTATTGTACCACAACTGCTCTGGTGACACCGAGAAGGTGTTCATGAAGAAGATACGGCTCTCACTGTCTGGAGATGAGGCCTAACCCACAGCTGAGGGAAACTGAGAGCAACCATGTCAGAACGAGGCATGCTTGACAAGCCACCTCAGAAGGCCAGGGGTGCATTAGGGCATCGTCTTGTCTCAGTCAGTGATGAGCTTCAGGTATCATATCCACCTACCTCCAAAGAGAGCTCTCCGTGATGCTCCCCAGGTTATAGTCGTAGAGTTTTGTCAAAATGAGAATCACCTGAAGGCAGAAAAAGAAGGAAAAATGTCTTGGTTAGTCTGAAACAATGACAATCTCTTAGAACTGAAACAACCCAAGGGAAGCTTTAGGATTCCTTTAATGGGTGCTTAACATAATTGAATGAATTGTCAACAGCATTACTAGGCTGAAGGGATCAAGTTTGCCAATGCCTTCCCAGAAGCCACTTAGGTCTTATCTGCCTCTCACTTCTCATCCTACCACCACCATACCTCAAAAGTTAGCTGACTGCGCAGGCATTTCTTACCTAGTAGCTGAACATTTCCAGGGAAGCCTGTCAGAGCTGTCAAACTTGTACCCCACTGGGCAGCTACTAAGACGCCCTAGTGGTACAGTGAAAGTGCGGGCTGCAACCTGAAAGGTCAGTGGTTGGAACTCACCAACCACACCACTGGGAGAAGGCTATGGCCAAGTCTGCTTCTATAAAGATTGCAGCCTTGGAAATCTATGCAACAGCTCTACCCTCTCCTATGGTGGTGGTGATATACCGTGGAGTCGGTTCCAACTCATAGCGACCCTGTACAGGGTTTCCGAGGCTGTAAATCTTTATGGGAGCAGAAAGCCTCATCTTTCTCCCGTGGAACAGCTGGTAGTTTCCAACTGCTGACCTTGAGGTTCACAACCCGATTTGTAAGCACTATGCTACCAGAGCTCCTTACCCTCTCCTATAATACCAGTCTAATCTGTAATTGACTCGAGGGCAGTGGGGTAGGCAGCCACTGAGCACTAAGTTGGGAGAGAAGGTCCAGTATTACAGCTGTCACCCTCAACACTTACAGAGGGATAGACCACATAGGGCAAGTTACTTCTCTGAAGCACAACGTTGCCATGTACTAACAGTGATTGATAATGCTACTCTCTCTTCTAAAGGTTGCTGTGAGGAGTTAACTTAGGTAATAAATGAAAATTACATATCAATTACAAGACTTCTTAAATGTTAGTTCCTTCTCCTCTGAGGGCTGGGTTTTATTCTCTGACACCCCAATTTCTAGGAAAGTCGTGGGACAAGAGCCACAAAGGATAAGCAATAACACTTTAACAGGAGTTAAGCCAGGTTTCACAAGAGTTCTGAAAGCTTTTAGAATTTGGAGGTGCTCCCTAAGAATAAAAATCATGAAAAAAAAACCAACAAAAAACAAGTAAAGCTAGATCCTGGGAAGGGGCCTGTGCCTCACAGTTCGTTAGCCTCATGGCAATTCCTCCTTGGACTCAGATATAACACTGTTTCAACTTCTCTCAGAGAATCCCAAATAATTTAGTAAATTCTTTCAGAATTATATGAGAGCTTAAAAATCAGAGGCATTTAATATGTGTAACTACAGCAGTCTCAAAGCAGAACTTTAACACCATTTGAAGGTCCTGAGATGAATCTGGAATCCATGTTGGATTTTCCAACAGCTGTTCCCCTGACATGGATGCTGGGCTAACCATTTACACTAACGGAGATACTCATTTTCTCTGAGGTCTGGTAAGTGTAGGGTATCATAGTCTATGCCAAAAGGGCCTTGCCACTATAGATCAACAGATACAAGACATAATAGCTTATACCTGAAAGGTCTTGATGCACAGCATTATTGATAAACGTTTACACTGGACCCCAGAAACAGACATGATTGAGAAAGCAATAGATTAGCAAGTTTCCTGAAAAAACTATCTTGTCATTGTCCTGTGATCAACCCCCCAAAAAACCCAGAAGACCATGTGTGCTTGCAACTACGTGCTCTTTACCAACCATGTGAAGTCCTGGTGTGGCACTGTAAGATAAGATGTTGGACCACAAGGTTGGCTTGAATCATGAGGTCGGCAGTTCAAACCCACCAGCTGCTCCACTGCTCCTCGGAAACCCTATACAGCAGGGGTGGAGAATGTCCACCCTGTGGCCTGTATGTTGTAGCTGCTATTGTTTTAAGTGTTGTCAAGTTGATTCCGACTCGTAGCAACACTGTTTAGGGTTTCAAAGACGGAGCTGATGGGTTTAAATTGCCCATCTTTCAGCTCAAACTGACCTTGAGGTACAGTGCACACCACACCAGGACCCAGGAAATCATTTCATCTGGTCCTGCCAAGACAACCACAGTTTTAGCCACTACATTTGTTGTTGTTAAGTGCGGTCGAGTTGATTTCAACCCTTAGTGACCCTATAATAAGGTTTCAGAGGAGTGGCTGGTGAGTTTGAACCACCGACCTTGTGGTTCAAACTGACCTTGCTGTCCAGTGCATTAACCCCATAGAACCACACCAGGACTCCTGACCAAATATAGCAGGGTAATCTTTAAGTTGATAATTTTGCACTGCCTGTGAATGATGTTATAAATTTTGGTAGGAAAAAGGTTCCCCGCTCCTGCTACACAGGGTCACTATGAGTCGGAACTGACTCTTAACAACAGCGACAACCAATCATGGAACCCTGAATTTACATTACCCACCAATCCCTGCTCAGTTCCTGCTTTTAGATACCCTGCCTTTGACTCCCCTGGTTGTCTCCAGCCAATATAATTTTGTAATGTCTACTTCCTGCTTCAACTATGAAAAAAGTGTTGTTTTCCCTCACTTTCTGTGAATTTAGATGCCTCCCTGGTCTAGACCAACCCTATCCCTCATTTGTTTTTACTTTAAATAGACTCCATAATGTTGCTCTACAACACAATCCAACAAACATGTATTAGAAGCCCAAGATTTTGTCTGATGCCACACACAAAGAAATGCAGACGAGGTCTAGGAATCTGAGATTCAGTTACACAATGAACTTGTCAAAGAAAAAGGAAGTTGATGGAGAGCTTAATTTACCTCTCAGTCCGTTGTTGTTGTTGTTGTTGTTGTTGTGTGCCGTGGAGTCAGTTCCGACTGATAGCAACCCTGTACAGGGTTTCCAAGGCTGTAAATCTTTATGGGAGCAGAAAGCCTCATCTTTCTCCCACGGAACAGCTAGTAGTTTCGAACTGCTGACCTTAAGGTTCACAGCCTGACTCGTAACCACTACGCCACGGCACATAACAACAACAGTCCCACTGTAATTCAATGCCCATTAAGGTAGCCTTGAGAAAGCAACTTTCTTGGTGCCTGAACTGATCAGCGGTGCAGCTGGTTAGCTGACGTACATATGCCCTACAATACCTGGAAGACTCAACAAAGTGGTGTTTTTCTCACCACTGGTGTTCCCTCTCCATACCCGCTCTTCTTACATAAAGAGCCTAATTGTCTGTTCCACTTTTTGGTGTGGTTCATGTTTCTCCTGATACTCATAACCTAGAACATTTGGCCCTATTGCTTCCAACTCAGCAAAAAAAAAAAAAAAAATGTTGACATCGATGCCTGGTCTTTTCTCTGAAGGCCCAGGGATCAGTTTCAGCCACAGTAAGTGAGCATAGAACATCCAGATCTTGAATTCCAAGACAGCGAGCTACTGAACCTTTCCAATCATCCCTCTGTTACCACAGGCTTGATTTATTATAGTATGCATCAATACGCACTTTCTTTCAACACTTCCTTCAGAGCCAGCAAAATGCAACTCCATGACCTCAGATCTGTTCCAAGTGCAAAGAAATAGACAACTATGGTGGCAGACAGACACAGAGATCCCCAAGGTCCTCTCCTCAAAGGTCACTTCTCCTAAGCCACAACACAAGCTTCCTCCAAGGATCTGCTCCAATCTTGCTTCTGTAGCAAAATGTGAGCATGTGTGAGGTGCTGGGCACCCTATGGGCACATCAGATGGCATGCCTGTGGTGGGGGCATATGCTTAGCAGATCTGTGTGCCAATTAAGTCGCTCTAAGTGCTAAATTTCAATCACCACCATCCCGGGAACGCTGATCAGCGGCAGCAGGGTGGCTGTTTGTTTGAAGACACAGAATGATGTTGCTGCTCCACCTCGGTACAATTTTGTGGAATAGGCCTATAAATCCCCCACCAAGAAAATGGGGCTGTGGGCATAAAGCATTTCTAGGTAGTTGCTCTCCTGATACAAGACAGCAGTAAACTAAATAATGAAGTTCAGCTGGTCACAGGCCATGTCTCCCATTCATCTGACAAGGGAATTCGGAGCAGCCGCAGAGAAGGAACCCTTTAACCCAGTGTGTAATGGTGTGGAGCCGCAGGCACAGGAAAGCAGCAATTGTTTAAGCAATTCTTGGGGCAGGCAGGGAGGGAGGGAAAGTCCGATCCCTGCGACTTCTTGCTGGGCTAGTAAAACTAAAATGCCAGTGATACTCTTAGGCAGTTTATCAATACTGCACCCAAACAGGCATCCTTTATGGCATTTCAAAGCATATCTGCTTGAATCAATCTATTTAATCTTTCTGTTTTCAGAATGGGTGCAAGCAAGAAGGGAGGCCTGCTAACCTTTAGTTATGTTTGCAAATCGATTACTTCAGGTTCTCTTTTCCGCCCCATCTGTATGGTCCATGTGCATTATTTACCTCCTACTGTGGGGCAGTGATGACTCACTGATTCAGGTTTCTTTTGTTTGCTATGTATTTGTTCTCATTAATTAGTAATCCTATTCAACAGAATTTTAAAAACCCAAACCACTGCCAGTCGGTTGCTGCTGATTCACTGTTGTTGTTGTTAAGTGCCATCGAGTTGGTTCTGATTCATAGCGACCCTGTATAGGGTTTCCAAGGAGCAGCTGGTGAGCTTGAACTGCCAACCTATAGTTCAAACTGACCTTGTGGTCCAGAGCATTGTCCCGCAGCGCCACACCAGGACTCCTATGCTGACTCATAGTGACCCTATATACACACATTACAGCATTATGCTGAGGCTGTAAATCATTACCAGAGCAGAAAGCCTCATCTTTCTCCTGCAAAGCAGCTAAAGGATTTGAACTGCCCACTTTGCAGTTAGCAATCCAGTGTTTATCCTACAGAGCCACTTGGGTTCCTTTATCCAACAGAATTGTTTTTAAGTGCTTTTGAGTCAGTTCTGACTCAAAACGACCCTACATAGGGTTTCTGAGGAGCACCTGATGGGTTTGAACCATTGA